AATTCACACCATAAACACCTAAATCACCCTAGTGCCGCAGCAAGGAAGGAAGGAGAAGAAGAGTGTCGTGCAATCTACCATCCAAGGGAGTTCCACAAGCTTGCCATTGGAGTGTGGAGTGTTTTTGGGTTCTTTCTATCCTTAGTTTTAGTTTGATGTTTATTTTAATTTGGTTTTCAATTATGATGAACATGAGGAACTAATTTCTTTGTAGTTGGAGGTGAATTCGAAGCCTTGATTATATGTTTTATATGAATTGATTACGTCCAATTATTGTTTCTTGAGTCTTGAATGTGATTTGCTTATCTGAGTTATAAAAACTATTTATGTATGTTGATTAAGGGAGTTTCATCTAATCATTAAGAACTTATATTCACAAGTAGTGGAAGTCACTAGTCATGATTGTGTTAAGCAAATCCTTGGTATGAGTATCATGCTTTTCATAGTTACGAATGCCTCGTCAATGCTTGTGGTTTTCAAAGAACTTAATGACCTTTGATATGTCTTTCTATCATGCTTTTCATAGTTAGGGAACTTGATAAGGATAATTTGGTTGCGATGCATATTCCATCCAATTCAATGAGTTAAGGAAAATCTGAAAGTTAATTTGTGCTTTCCATGGTTAATTTGGGGCATTGTCATTCACAGTCTAAAGGAATAATAACTAGATATTGGTTTGTATGCATATGTCCATGTGTGGAGAAGGACCATCTAACTAGCATTTCACCCTTTTTAATTCACCAAATTCGTTTTTATAAAGTGTTCTATGCAAAGTTTCTGTTTTAAGTTTTAAATTCGTCAAAAACAATCCCCTATTCATTGAGTCTTGTCTTTTGAGTCAAAATCTGTTTTCTTTTAGTCTTTTGAGTCAAGTTAAGTCTTATTTTCATAGAAATCACTTGTTAGGTCTAGAATTGAGTCTTTTTTAATGCTGGTTGCTGTTTTGAGTGTTTTGAGTCAGTTTTGAGTCTATAGAGTCTAATTTAGTGTTTTTAAGTCTTATTTGTGTTGATTAGCATCCCTAGTTAATCCCCGGTCTAGAACGATCCCTACTTACATATATACTACAATTCTTAACATTAGGGTTTAATTTGTGTGTCAAGTTAATTTTCACATCAGTTTCCAAAAGATCAAAACCTTATTGGGTGTTAAAAGTGCATAGTTTTTTCTCTATGGAGCATATTTGGACTGTTTTCAGCATTAATGCGGTCGAACGAGCGCACGTTTTAACACTTTTTGGAACTTTAGAACATAAACACATATAATACGCTACTAGGACCATAGGAATGAGTGGTCAAAATATCAAAATTTTATTGGCTGTCAAAAGCACACAATTTTTTCTTGGGAGTGTATTTGGACTATCTTCGGCCTTCAAGTGATCAAACGAGGGTGCGTTTAACACCCTTTGGAACTTATGAAAATGAACATATTATATGCTATGATGACCATAACAATGAGTACTCAAAAGATCAAAAACTTATTGCGTGTCAAAAGTACACATTTTGTCCTTATGGAGTTTATTTGGATTGCTTGCGACATTCATGGAGACAAACGAGCATGCTATTGATACCATTTGAAACTTAAGCAAATAAACACTTAAAATACACTGCTAGGACTATAACAATGAGTACTCAAAAGATCAAAAGCGTATCGGGTGTTGAAAGTACATAGTTTTCCCATATGGAGTGTATTTGGACTATTTTCGGTATTCATGGAAACAAATAAGCGTCCGTTTGATACCCTTTGTAACTTAAGAAAATAAACACATATAATATGCTACTAGGACAATAAGAATGGGTATTCAAAAGATCGAAACATTATTGGGTGTTGAAAGTACACAATTTTTCTCTTTGGAGCGTATTTGGACTGTTTTCTGCATTCATGTGGTCAAACGAGCATGTGTTTGATACCATGTGGAACTAAAAAAAATAAACTCATATAATATGCTACTAAGACCATAAGAATGAGTACTCAAAAGATCAAAACCTTATTGGGTGTCAAAAGTACACAGCGTTTATTTGGATTGTTTTCAGCATTCATGTGATCAAACCAGGGTGCGTTTGACACCCCTTGGAACTTAAGAAAATAAACGCATAATACCTTATTGGGTGTCAAAAAGAGACAGTTTTTCCATATGGAGTGTATTTGGACAGTTTTCGGCATTCATGGAAGCAAATGAGCATGCGTTTGACACCCTTTGAAACTTAAGAAAATAAACACATACAATACACTACTAGGACCATAACAATGAGTCCTCAAAGGATCGAAACTTTATTGGGTCTTAAAAGTACGCAGTTTTTCCATATGGAGTGTATTTGGACTGAAGCATTCATGGAAACAAAGGAGCGTGCGTTTGACACCCTTTGGAACTTAAGCAAATAAAAATGTATAATACGCTACTAGTTCCATAAGAATGAGTACTCAGAAGATCAAAAGCATATTGGGTGTCAAAAAGTCACAGTTTTTCCTTATGGGGTGTATTTGGACTGTTTCAGCATTCATGTGGTCAAACGAGCGTGCATTTGATACCCTTTGGAACTTAAGCAAATAAACACATATAATATGCCACTAGGACCATAAGAATGAGTACTCAAAAGAGAAAAATCTTATTGGGTGTCAAAAGTACACGGTTTTTCCTTATGGAGTGTATTTGGCTTATTTTCGGCGTTCATGTGATCAAACGAGCATGTGTTTGTCACCCCTTGGAATTTAAGCAAATAAACATATTTAATACACTATTAGGATTAATCTATGAATGTCACACCATGATCGCCTTCTTTTGTTTTTGTAATGTCTTATGAATGTAAATTCTTCATTCTGAGTTTTTTTTTTTTTTTCATTCAATGACAATGTATCAAAACATATCATCATTTCGTCATAGCACCTCCAAAAATTCTATCCCACGTCCTACACTTTTGCATTAGCATTATTTTCGTTCAATCATTTACCAAACATATGTAAAAGATCTTTACGGGTGCGTAGCCCTTGTGAGTAAAATATAAAGGCCTTTTGCATGTGCGAGTGTTATTATTATTGTAAGGTAGTAAAGTTAGGTGGTGATCCTGTTGTTGTTTGTAGCTGGTGTAGCCTTTGTTCTAATCTTTTGTTGGTTTGGAACGTTTAGCTTTTCTTCTTCAGGATCTCTACATTTATGGAGGTACGATTTTATTGGATTTACATAATCCTTGAATGATGTCCTCCTCGTTTATGGCCTTGCGCTTTTCTCTTTGGCATTTGTCGGATGCTTCTCCTGTAACGAAGCTGATGAACTCGGAGACGCTTTCTCGGACGTTTCGTTTGCATCTTGTGAGATTTTTCCGTTGCCCGGAATCACATTTTTCATAATGCGACATTGGCGATGGGGAAGAACCTATCTTGTTCTTTGTTGTTGTGCACATGCACTAGCAGTAGTACTGCTTCTAAACTGTAGTATCTCATCTTCCATTTCTATTTCCAAATTATTGATTTTGATTGGGGTGTGTCTGTGATGTGAGAGAGAGAGAGAGAGAGAGACTGTGCCCCTATTACGTAGCACAATCTCGTTCTCTTGGTCACTTAGTGATTAAAGATTCATAATCATCCGACTTTGAATTTAATTAAATTTGATATCAAAGATCTCATCTTCCATTTCTATTTCCATATTATTGATTTTGATTGGGGTGTGTCTGTGATGAGAGAGAGAGAGAGAGAGAGAGAGATTGTGCCCCTATTACGTAGCACAATCTTGTTCTCTTGGTCACTTAGTGATTAAAGATTCATAATCATCCGACTTTGAATTTAATTAAATTTGATATCAAAGATCGAGGTCAAAACCTTAAAAAGCACATCTATTTAACCTCCACTCTTGATATCAAATCCAAAAATAACTGACTATTCAATTTTTGATGTTCAGATGACAAAAGAACATTCATATTGTGGCATGCCTCATTACTACAAGGTCTTACCTCTGATTTTATTCAACGTTGTAAAATGACTCACGTCAACTCGACTACCATCTAGTTTTGGCTTGCAAATAAGACTCTAATTCAATTACAATGTATATCAAACTTACAATACTAGCTCCTAGCACGACATGCTCTCGTATTTTACAGTAAAACCAAAATGGAAAGTCGAGCTTTGAGCCTCCAACTTTTGTTTCCATAAAACAAATTGTGACCCAATAATAGGAAAAATGATCCGAATAATGCGGAGTACCAAGTCTAGCAAAAGCATTTCACAACAATAGAATCGAAATCCTCAAGTATTATATATGATGAACTGCCGATTTAATCCCTGTATTATCATCTCAGTGAAAATTATGTTTCTAAATTATTTTTCGGTAAAATAAGTCCCTAAATTCATTAGAAATTGCAAATTTCATCCCTAATATTATACTCAAAGGTATTTTATCCAATTTTTCGTCAACTTAAGTCACATAACACATTTTAGAGGATATTGCCGTCATTTTCTTACCTATAAGCCTTAATGTTGCATATAGGTCGTGCATCTAACATTTAATTTATCCTTCAAAGTTAACTCCATACAATATTTCTTCGAAGAAAATAAGTCCTTAAACTATGAAAAGCTACCAATCTACTCTCTAAAGTGTATCACATGCAAGTCATGTGACTTAAATTAACGAAAATTTGAATAAAATAACTTCGAATCTAATATTAGAAATGTAATTAGCAAATTTTATTAGTTTGATTATGAAAAGTGTTACTGACACTCCAAAAATCTCGTTCTACACTCCTCATAAGTGTATTTTTGTTTCCAAATATAGAAAGTTTGGAGCGTAGAATGAAATTTTTGAAATGCCAATAACAATTCCATTGATTATTTATGAAATTACAGCATTAGTTTGACGCCCTAAGTGTATGCAAGTAGCATTAGTCATGAAAACTTCACTTTTTTGTACATCCCTAGGATTTTTCAGAAAAAAAAATATATAGTTTAGTAACCTAATTTTCAGTAAATCAACATTTCACCCTATCCTACCAATAGTTTAGTTTTGCATGCAATTGTAACAATGTGCTCATTTTTCTTCCATCAATAACCTGTAAGGTAATGTTACAGTGAAATTCCAAACACCGACCTTTCAAAAACGAAAACAAAATATTGTAACAAACGAATTACAGACACTACAAGCCCTAACTAAAATGATACAAAAGGCTAATATAACATAAAGTACAGTTACCATGAATTTCGATAGCAACCAAAACATAAAAAGAATGTGTAACGATTATATCCTCAGCAATGCCAGCAGCCACTTCCGGCCACCACGCTTAAGCGATGGCATACTTGAGTGTCTCCAACTCTTTGGGCCGCCACATGGACTTCTTCACACAGAGCAATCCCTCCTTGTCCTTTGAATAGGTCATGCGAACCTCCCACTGCATCGATCTCACCATGTTCTCCAGCTCATTAATAGTCTCAACCTCGTCTCGCACGATAAGGGTTCCCTCAGGTCGAAGAATTCGATCAACCTCCGCAACTACAGCCACTAAATTGCACCTGCCATTCACAAGCCATTCCAAAGTCAGACAGTGAAAAAAATTGGTGTATCATATAATGAATGCTTTGCAGTGGAGAAAACAAGAAATGGAATAGTGTGCACCTCTTTTTAAGCTTGGAAAACAGATGGTCGGAATGGATAAGATCATAAGACCTTGGATATGTGCTAAATGATTCGCACCAATCATGATACATACCAAACAAACCACGTTCGTAAATTATGGGTAGTGTGTCTGGAGAGTCTACTGAGACCACATTCATGACCCAAATTTTCAAATCTTTCACAGCGGCAGCAAATCTGCAAGCACAACCAGAAGTCAGAAATAGAGCAATAAGCTACCTCAAAGATAAAAAAATAAAAATAAAAAAAGTTATGCAAGAACCACCTCTAAGACAACATATTCTTTGGCGATGTCAAGAACAATAACAAAGATAAATGACAAAGCACAATTACACTGAAGATGATCGGTTTTTCCATGCATCAAACGAATCCATCAAAACACACTATTCAACATAACCAAGGAACGATTTTTCTTACCCTCCATACACAGCTCTCATGTCCATAACATTCCGGACAGATGTCCAGTTAATCCCCATTCCATTCAGGTATGACTTTGTCACCACACGTTTCCAGTGCTCATTGTCTGCAGTGAAATCCTCAGGAGCAGGTTTTCCATAAACACCAACTTGGGAACTTAACAACCAGTAAGGTGGCTTGTCCAACCTCGATGGCCATTGTTCAGGCCATTCAGACCCACGTTCTGTTGCATCTACAGGCACTTTGTGCATGCATGCTTGTAATGGCACATTCCTGTACGCACAAAATTAAGATTAGGGTAGTTATAGAGCTTAGATTATAGCTATCTCAGGGTTCGCATCAGACAAATTTTGGCAAGAGTAACACCATTGCCAATTGTGATGGGGTTTAGTTTTGCTTTTCCAAAGCATCATAATATTTTTTTTTTTTCCACGTGGTTTTAGAACTACACTATACAGAGAATGTCCATTTTCCTCCAAGTTCAGCAATCTCATTAAGCCAGAAACAGAACTGAGTAATTCAACCATGAATGCTTAGGCAACTAAATCAAAAGTCTGGAGAAAAATTTGTTTCCCTGAAAACATTAAATTAAAGGTGAAAGAAAAGGATCAGCTGAATATAATGTGTACCAGGCAGCATTTGGCTCATCAGACGTAGTGCAGATGGGAGGCTCGTTCTGTGATCTTTTCTCATAGCACTCATTCGAAGTAGGCTTTTTGTATATAGCAATACCAACTCCATTTATTGTATCCTTACTAATTGACAACAGTTCCCAGCATATTGCTTTTGTTAGTTCCTTCATGGCTGCAGATGATTCCCACAAATTTTAGACTTGTTAGTAGTAAACAACCAACTCCAATTCAAAAATTTCAAATATACAAGGTTTAAACTTATGTACCTTTCCATATTTCAACATCTTCAGCCAGCTTCTGATATATTGGAGTAGCAGACCACACAAAGAAACCACCAGGTCTCAACACACGATTCAGCTCCAATAGAAGCTTACCACCTGCACCATGTTTATTGGTGAAAGTCCAAATGAAAAGAAATAACCAAATAAGTCTCCTATGTCAGAAAAAACTGACTCAAACATCTAGGGCTTCTTTGGTGTCAGTTCAGAAACAGCGTTCTATCATATAAATCATGAAAAGCAGTGCAAAATTTGCAGCTCAATTTGAAAACTGCTCAAGGAAATAAACAATCTTGAAAACGAAATGCATCATAAACTAAAAATCTGTTTCCAGCTATCAACTTAGAAGTTACAAAATAGAAAACCGAAAATTATTGTTTTCAAGTTATCAACCTAAACCCTAAACTAGGTGTGACAGTTATCGAAAACTCAGCCAAACAACCCCGGATTTCACACATTGGAAACTGCATTTTTAAACAACAATCTAAGCTTGATCACATGTCACACTGTAAATCAATTCACAAGAACTACCTTCTATATGCCAAGGAACCCTGCAGCGGGCACAGTGAACAACATCAAAAACTTTGCCTGGGAAGGGAAGTCTCTTTGTGCCCATCACAGCAGATATGGCTGGAATTCCTCTTTCAAGTGCAAACTGAACCTGAGCTTCATGCTCGTCTTTTGGGGCCAATGACATTGCAAGGACATCTCTGTCAAAGAGAAAGCCTCCAAAGCTTGCAACTCCACATCCAACATCTAATACAACACGTGAACGTTTTCCCCAGGCAATATCAGGAACAGACTACAACAGAAGAGAACCAAGGTTAGCATAATTTTGATGAGCAGTAACATGAAAGATATATCTTATCTAGTTGTTTTCTACTGGTGAATCACATCCAAAACTTGTGAAATTCATAGGCTGCCAAGACATGTCACTCTAGAGATGAAATTCCTGCCTAGGTCTTAAAAAGATATTCCTTAGGACTCTGCATATCTAACCAGAGCGTCAATTATACTGTAACAAGAATCACAGAAATGCATATACTACATCATAAATGCATAGGCATTAATACGATATAGACGTAGCAAAGACTGACATATTCTCCAAAGCATGAGCTGATTAAAAATATTAGGGAAGGGGAGAAGACAAGGATTGAATGCACACATTGACACATCTGAAGAAATGTACATACATATTTACAGAGAGAATAAACCAGCATGCAAAGTAATACAAGTGGAATGTATTTGAAAAATAACAAATGCATAAAAGTATTCACCTCTAGTATGAAATCTATATAATGAAGAGCACCACGCTTGAATTGTGTTCCACCGCCCGGAAAAGTAAGGTATTCACCAGTAACTTTGACCCAATTCTGATGCCCCTTAACTTGAGCAAGCTTGGCATGCGGAACATTGTAGTACCATATCTACAAGAATGCACCTTATCAATCTATGTCACAAAGGAAAGAGGACAATGTGGAAAAAAATGTATACATTGATTAAGTTATATACCTTTTCCCTGCTTGTTGGCCACTCAATTGAGCGTCTATATCCTTCTGGGAGAGGAAGAAGGCAGGTGGGAGCCTCTTCGGGACAGTGCCTCTCCCGGTGCTCGTAATGCTTGGTACTTCGAAGACTCTTGATGGCTTGCAAATTGTCAAGGCAGGGGATGAAATCAGGCCCAGCAGTGGAATTGCAGACTTTCCAGTTGTAACTGATCTTCTGATTAGAAGTACGCTGAGCCTCCTTCTCGTTCTTTGACTCTGCCGATTGAGTTGACCACGAACCATTTTGAGTTGTAGTCTCGTTCAACAGCTCTGACTGAGCAACAGAAGGGAATACCTCATTTGAACTTTCGTTTTTGACCTGCTCATTTTCCTTTTTCTCCTCTATCTGACCATTCACCTTTTCTGTATCATTTATTTCTTCAGAGCTGTCTAATTTTTTATCACTGTCATCATCCGACTTCTTATCATTATCACTGGAATCAGACTTCTTCTCGTTTTCACCACCATCGCTCTTTTTTTCTGCATCTTCAGAATTCAATTCTCCATTTTCCACCTTAGAGTCACCATCTTCAGTTTTCTCCTCACTCTTGTCTTCAGTCTTCTCCTCAATCTTGTCTTCGGTCTTGTCCTCAATCTTGTCTTCAGTCTTCTCCTCAGGCGTCTCTTGAGTCTTTTCCACAAATCTCTCCGCAGTAGAGTCTTCAGACTTCTCTTCTACCTTGTCTTCGCCCTGAGCAGCACCATCACTGTCTCCTTTGGTTGCGTCATCAGGTAAGTCACCGGGGTTATCTTCAAATTGCCTGTTTTTGGTGTCACTCACTTGTTCCTTGACGCCAATGTCATTGCTGTCCTGCTCGTTGAGGTCACTCTTATTCTCCTGGGGCACATCAACATTTTGAACGGGAACTACAGAGGAGGAGGTCATCATCCAAACGGCGACCAAGCACAAGGCCACAAACACCACAATGGTGACGGTGGAGCAGTAGCCATTGGAGGAGGGCCTCCTACTATCTACTCTAGTATATTTACCTATGGCCATGTTTGACCCAGCACCTGAAAATTGAAACAAGACGAAAGCGAATTACTAGGACGAAATGAAGTAATGATGGTAGCCCAGATCTGTAGCAATTAACAGATCCGGCAATGGATCCAAGTAACAGGAAAGGAAAAGGATATAAAGCAATGAAGGTCTGAAAAATGGAAAATATGGGAAACAGATTACTAAAAACAGCAGCAGGAATCCCAATTGACCCAACAAAAATAACCTAATCTTGGTTAATAATATCAAACAAAACTAACACAGACGGAACTGTAAATTCAAATAATTTGGAGAGCAGATCAAATCTTTTGGAAGGGAGGTAAGTAAGTACCTTGTTTGTTTGATTGTGTGTTTGGGAAGATCTGATATGTGGTGTTGTTGAGGGTTATTCCTCCATTATCCGACCTTCAATAATCTCCAATCAGCAATCTCCAATGAGAAAACGAAAGAAAAGAAAAAAAAAAGAAAACACAAGGATTTGGCAGAGGATGGAGGACGCGGACGAGATTTAATACCAAACACTCCACTCCACGAGACAGAAAGAAAGAATGATAGAGGAGAGAGGACTCTCTTTCTAAATTCGAAAATTTCTGGTTATTTTCCGACCATCTTTGCCAACCATTAGGCTTCTAAATAGGTATAATCTTATTCTACATTTTCCTATCTTCATTTTGATATATTATGGGTCGAATTTGGTTAAGAAATGATTAAATTACAAAACTTTAAAAATTACCCAAAATCGTTTTTAACGGAATGACCAAAACCATGAACGGTGACGCATTACTCAGATTAGTGTTTGGTTTAGTAGGATGTGATGCACACTTATGGCTTGGCATGGTGTTTCCTTGGAAGCTGCCTCCAGCAATCTGCGGTAAGAGATAGTTGTACCATTATTGAGTCTTCTACGCATACATGTGACAATGCGTTTTTATTTTTTTCTTTTAACAATTAATATCATTTATACATTAAGGGAGAGAGAATAGTTTAACCTCACAATGGATTAGTAATAAGTTGGTTCAAATTTGTATTTGTGCGAAAATCAAACATAAGACCTCTCGCTTATAAGTAAAGATGAATACCACTAGATTCTAGTACTAAGTGACACGTGATAATGCATTATTAAAATTTAGAATATCATGAAATATGCGTATAAAGTATAAATTTAGATGGACAATTAAGTTAACTGTCAATTTTACCTTGAATATCATGAATGCTTACTTGAGATCTATGAAGCGCTTGTATTGAATTGATATGTGAAAATTATATTTATTGACGTTTGGGGTTTACCCAACATAGTGCTTAATTTATGGGACTCATGATAATCGTCAATGCTTTTCCAAATCCTAGATGAATTTATGGACTAATTTATGGATGTTTGGTGGCTTATTACATCACGATCAATGCAAGGAAAATGATCCAAATGGAAGCTTGCTGGCTTATTGGGTACAAAACCATATCAAATCTAAACCGAAGTGGTTGTAATATAATCAACATATACTCTTTTTCAATGCGACATAAATATGAACAAGTCTAAGATAGTAATGAGAGAGAGATTTCTAGAGAGAGAGTGTGTGTGAGTGTGTTAAATAATGGTTTTAAAGATAGTTCAAAAACTTTGATTCCCTTTCCCGTGGAAGAAATTTTTTTAGGAACCAGTCACATATGGTGACCTAGAATTCCCCACTAATAATTGTTTGACACCTGTTTTATCACTCTTTAAATGGCACTAACTATGATTAATGAACTTCATTGAAATACCTATTTTATCCTTGTATATTCATTTTCAGAAAATAATAAAAATAACAAAAAAATTTAAAAAGAAAGAAGAAGGTAAAACACCATCCCTGCCATTACGGCCCATCCCCTCATCCCCTCATCCCCCACCGATTTTGCCATTCCCCCTTACCTCTCTCTCCCTTTCTCTTTCTTTCTCTGTCTCTTTTCCCTTTCTTATTTCTTCTCTTTCTTGCGCCAGAATAAGAAGATGTCAATGACCTCAGCGGCTGATAAATCGGGATTGGCGATAACGGATCTGAGTTGGAGTCTCACCAACAATCCCTGGGTTCCATGTAGTAGAAGCAAGAGTGGGAGAGAAAGAGAGGAAAGAAAAGAAAGAGAAAGTACAGAGAGCATGGATAGTTAAATCACCAACTTGTGATGAAGGTTGGTGCATTGGATGGTTAATCGGCATCTCAGATTGATGCTCATGTGCTTCTGATTATTGTAGTGTGAATTTCTAAAATAATTGGTATCTTTAATTAAAAAGAATAAAATATACACATGTCAAATTTTTATTTGTGGAACTCCAAGTCAGCATATATTCCAGGTACATAAAAAAATTTCTCCTCCTGTAGAGGGGGATTTTTTGTTTGTCACCTTAACAAAAACGAACACCCCCAAGAGGATTTGAACAACAAAAAACCAAAAATATAAAACACAAAGATGAGATTTAGTTAGCTTTGCTAAATGGGGTTCAATGTCACACCCTGATTCTGATATACGTTAGGAATCGACACGTGATAGTAGAACAGTAGTGGTATAGCATATAATACATAGAGTCACTGAGACTCATATATACAATATACATCAGAGCTTCAGTGAAAATAACTTAAAAAGGTGTGGCAATCCTTACTCTCGAGTGCGCAGCCCACTTACACCACTTGGAATTCTCTTTTCTTATCACTACTCATTACTCTGCAAAACAACCCTACGTCATGGGAATGGGGCACCAGGTAAAGCAAAACTCGGAAAGCTGGGAAGTTCGTATGAATAATTGATAGGAGCATATTTATGCAACTAAGTTAGCTTGTTTTCTTGCATTTATATAGTTAGTTTCTATTTATTATAGTGATTTAAGTTATTTTCGTGTGTTTGTAGGTTTAAATGGCAAAAGAGGCAAGTAAGTGCATTTTAGAGCTATTTGGAGCAGTTTTGGGCTTGGAATGGATTGCACATGCATGGAGCAAGGTGGATGGACGAATTTGAAGATCAAGAGAGGCTAGGAATGTGCTTAATATTTGGAAAAACAAATTTGGAAGCATTAAAGATAAGGAATCAGCTACAAAGAAGGAACATTATCCAAACAACCTTATCTTATCCAAACCTTATCCAATCTTATCTTATCTTATCCTATCCTAATCTTTTGCTACCTTAATTCCTGCTGCAAGATGTGAAAATTAATTTGACACACAAATTAAACCCTATTGTTGACAATTGTAGTATATATGTAAGTAGGGATCGTTCTAGACCAGGGATTAACTAGGGATGCTGATCAACACAAATAAGACTTAAAAACACTAAACTAGACTCTATAGACTCAAAACTAACTCAAAACACTCAAAACAACAACAAACAATAAAAAAGACTCAATTCTAGACCTAACAAGTGATTTTGACGAAAATAAGACTTAACTTGACTCAAAAGACTAAAAAAAACAGATTTTGACTCAAATAACAAGACTAAATGAAAGGGGGATTGTTTTTGATGAATTTAAAACCTAAAACAGAAACTTTGCATAAAACACTTTGTAAAAACGAATTTGGTGAATTGATAAGGGTGAAAGGTGATGCGAAAATTAACTTAACACACAAATTAAACCCTCTTTTGAGAATTGTAGTATATAAGTAAGTAGGGATCATTCTTAAACGGGGGATTAGGAGGGATTAATAAACACTTTAAACTGACTCAAATAGATAAAACTAACCTTTAAAACACTTAACTCAACTTAAAAGACTCAAAACAAGTTCACAAACTCAAAATAAGCTAAAAACACTCAAAACTGCCTAAAAACACAAACTGGGTAGATTTGACTCTAAACACAATTTTGGACGAATTTTGGTTTTAACTTGACTCAAAACACTTGAAAACACAATCTAAAACAGATTTTAACTAGTTAGACACTCTAAAATAAAGGGGGATTTGGTTTTGGACGAAAATAAAGTAAACAAAACAAGAATTTAAACTAGGCAGATTTGCACGAATTTGGTGAAATTAGATGGATGACGGGCTAGCTAGGAGGTCTTTCTCCACACATGACATACTTGCATACAAAACAATCTCCAGTTGCTTTTTTCAACGAATCATTAACCTCCACACCCCAAGTTAATTAGATACGCTTAAATTAACCTTCAGATTTCCCTTAAGTCATTGAATTGAATGGAATTAGCGCATTGCAATCAAATTATTCCTCAAAAGCTCTCTACATGAAAGCGCATAATAGAGAAACAATCAAAGATCATTAAATTCTACGAAAATCATAAGTGTTGACGAGGCACTCGTAACTATGAAAGCGCATGATACTTATGCCAAGAATTTACTTAACATGATTGTGACTAACAACCTTTACTACTTATGAATATAAGTTCACAACGATTAGGTGAAGCTTCCTTATATCATAGCATCAGATTTATGCATGCAAATTAAGTGTGCACTCTCAAATTTAATTCAAACAAATAAGTAAATTGGATTCTCAATTCATGAAATCACAACTGGAAGTAATCAAATCATATTGCAAATATAGCCATGGTTTTGAAATTCCCCCTAGCCAAAAGGGGATTAGTTCCTCATGCTCACAAAGCAAGGATTCTTGAAATTAAACATTGAAAAACACAAGAAAGATTACACCTAAAACGTTCCAGCAATTCCAAGTCAAATGGCATGCACGGCTAGGGCTTTCCTTCTTCTTCCTTACTGTGGCACAAGATGTCGGTGATGGTTTTGGGGGTTATGAACGATGTATTCTTGCTTGGGATGATGAATGATGGCTAGTTGTGGTGAAGGGTTGCGGCATATTGTGTATGGAGGTGTAGGGATTGAATGGATGATGGAGAATGGAGGCTAGGGCTTGCGGCAAGGATTTTCTGAATGGCATAAGGGGTTGATGCGAATTTGTGGCTGAAAATATGAATATATAGTTCGGCCAACCCTAGGATTAATTAGATTAGGGTTACAACTTAGAAGATTTTGAAGGATTAGGGCCCTAGGTTTCGGCATAAGTCATTAAATCCACTTAGGAGGGGGTTTGGCCGAATTAGTTTCAGAAAAGGATTTGTGTAACCCAAATCCACAAGGAATAGGGGCTAACAAATCAGAATCAAAAAGGGATAAGGCCTAAAGAGGTGCTGCAACAATTGGAGGGAAAGGAAAGTGGCTTGCAAGGCAAGGCAAGGCATTCTAGAAGGGAATAGGCGCCACCTTTGTAGGGTTTCTAGATATTATTCCTTTAGACTATGAATAACAATGCCCCAAGTTAATTGCATCGCACAATCAACCATCAAACTTCCCTTATTTCATTGAATTGAATGAATACGCATTACAATCAAATTATCTTTCTCAAGTTCTCTATGTGAAACGCATGATAGAGATACATATCAAAAGTCATTAAGGTTTATGAAAATCATAAGCATTGACAAGGCATTCATCACTATGAAACGCATGAGACTCATGCCAAGGATTCACTTAACACGATTGTGACTAGCAACCTCCATTACTTGTGAATATAAGCAAATAACTATTACATGA